AAAGAGAGATAATTGACACGAATGATTCCGATTCAGATGAGGACAATAATTTAACTGAGGGAGAAAAAAGTGTGTAGTTTAGTGGTCTAGTAGTATTTGCATACATATTGGTTTGAGTGTTTAATCAGTGGTAGTCAGTGACAGACGTAAAGAGAAATTTTAATTAGTGAAATAATTGCTGGTACGAAGGAAAAATACACAAACAAAAAAAAAAAATAGTAATAATAGAATAATTTTTTTTTTTTTTTTTTTTTTTTTTTTTTTTTTAATATTTATTTAAAAAAAAATGTGTATGCACAGACACCTCGACCAATGGTCTGGCATATGTGTAAAAACTTTCTATTGCTAATTCACTGTGTATGAAAATATTAAACATCATTGCCACTAGACCATGCCATGGGCAACAGTTAAATTGGGCGAGAGCTAACACGTATAAATAATCACCATATCAATCTATATATACAAAATAAAAAAAAAAAAAAAAAAAAAAAAAATATAAGAAAATAAAAAATTATTGATTGGGTTGTACAATTAAAAAATATTGATATTTTTTTTTTTTTTTTTTTTTTTTTTTTTTTTTTGTTGATAATTTAAATTGTGTATCCTGATAGCGACAGGATCTCAGTTGCTGGATTATTAAGCCCAATAATGTAAATTAAAATAAATTTTTTATAATATTGTGAAATAGGTAAGTACAACTTTAACGGGGGAATGCCTATAAAAAAGTTGCCGTAAATAGGGGTTGCCACAGTTCGAAGTCGTTCCTACTACTTTATCCGGGTCCGGCAACAGTGAGTCAGGCATCTGTTGCCCTTATAATAAAAAATTGTATGATGCAAACTGAAGTATGTATTAGAAGTATTTCATAAAAATATTTTAACTTCTACAGGGTGGGTCAAAAAGTGTAGCGAATCAGTGAATGATTTTTTAAAATGGAACACACCACATAATTATTGCATTTTTGGCTCTTTTCTGACAACTTTACATAATCCTAAGATATTAATTAATATGTTTTATTAGTTATAAGATTAAGACTAAATATAAATAAAAATATAAAAAAAAAAAAAAAAAAAAATGTTAAAAAACTTTTTTATTTTAAAATACAAGAATGTTAAAATTAAAAAAAAAAAAAAAAAAAAAAAAAACATACAGGGTGTTCAAAATCCTATGCTAAACTTCTAAAAAATAAACTAGTTATTCTTCACTTTTTAATGAACAACTCTGTATATTATGTGTTGTTGATGAGGAATTAAAAAATGCACATTTTTGTTCATTTAATTTTTTTTTTTTTTTTTTTTTTTTTTTATTATGAACAAAAAAAAACTGTTTTATTAATTTTTTTTTTTTTTTAATATATTTTTTGAACACGCTGTATGATTTAAGATTACGATATTTATAGCAATTAAGTAAAGAAAAATATAGAAACCCCAAAATGTTCTGATTCAGGACATTTTGATTCTAAAAAAAGAAAGCCTGAAATATATTTTATTTATTTAGTATTGTTCTGAAACTAAAAAACATATTAAATAATATCTTAGGATTAGTAAAGTGATAAAAGGAAGCCAAAAATGGCATAAAAATAATCCCAATTCACTCAATTTTTGGAGCCACCCCGTAAAGTAAACTATTTTCGACAAATAACATCTAATATATACTTTCAGTGGCACTCATATAAACAACCAAGTTGCGCCAACTTTTTTCATTGCACACTGTAAAATGTATTCACACTATTCATAAATATATTAAAAATAGGATTTGATTATCTACATGATGCAACGTAATAATCTCAACTAGCACCAATCTTAGACCTATGAATTCACTAAAATTATTCAATTAATTTTTTGTTAGTCTGAAACAAATAAGATTATGGACTTTATCGTTGACACACCCTGTTCTTAAATTTATATATAATATATATTTATATAATGGCTAGTGGTATATTTTTGTACTGGGTATATATTATTTATGTATTATGAGTCATATTCTTGATGTCTGTTGTAAGTTTTTTGTACTGTAGCAGGTTTTTGTGCTTGGGAGTTTTTCAGAAATATATAATTCTATATTGTCTCTTTTCTCCATCTATCCAAAGAGTTTTTTTGCACATCCCGAATATCTGGCTGACATTATGTTATATTGCCAACACATCTATTTTTGATCTTAGCTTTTTATCTCACTACACTTACTAAATACAGTAAAACATAATATTTAGATATTTTTTTTTTAAACTTTCTAAAAATTTTTCCAAAAGTTTGTGTGATTTTTTAGTAGAATGATTGTAAAGAACAAGATAATCAATTTTAAATCATTCTATTATATTACTATTAACTTATAATACTGTTCTGTCGTTTCTAAAAATCTTTTTCAGAATAAATTTGTGTAGTTTATTCATAAAATTAAATAATATTTTTTTATTTTATAAACTAAAATAATATTTACAGCTACATGTAAATATAGTGCAATATCCAAATTTAACGTTTTATACTGGTGTAAACGCAAAACATGAATACAAATACGCTCCCTACTAATGAGCGAATGCAAACGTTAAAAGGTTTACAATTATGGAGAAGCAGGAAATACGTGAAAACCCTGAAAACCAATATGGCGCCGAAAAAGATGACGAAAGTGCCTAAGTTCCCGAATTGAAATATAATCCTGTTATTTTATTATAGTCCACTTCGAAATACAAAAATTTTAAAAAAAAAAAAAAAAAAAATAGTTCTTTTTTATATTTTTTGGTATGTAGTGTCTTTTTTTTTTTTTTTTTTTTTTTTTTTTTTTTTTTTTATTAATTAAAATAACTCATTACATTTTTGAGTTTATTCACAATATTTGAAGTAATCACTCGTCATCTTGTCAATCAAATTTAAATATTTCCTGCTATGCGTCCAGTTGTACCAACTTATTTCTTTATAAAATAAAATAAACTACTTTGAAATAAAATGACAGACACATCTATCACTGTCAAGGATCTTCTCGTTGGACAGACTATATATTCCACAAAGTATATTCTTTGAAAGAAACGCAAAACCATTTGTCAAGTGACACATGATCCACTTTATTTTAAAGTTTACAAATAAAATATTGACACGCCACTGTCGTGAAGGCGTTGTAACGAAAAATAATACAAAATACATGTTTTACCTTTGATAATCAAGCAAAATAAGCATAATTTCCTTTGTACAGCTTCTTATGTTACGATGAATAATCCTTTTAAATGCGATATCGCTTTCTGTTACGCAATAAACCGTTTCTTTTACCGAGTTTTTAACGCTAACTGGCCAGCGTCGTGGATATTCTTACACTTAAACGCGAAAAAATTTTAATTAGTATTCTGTAATTGTCCCAGCACTTTGCGATTGCTTGTTTTGCCTCACCTGAGGTCATTTTGTTCACGACTGGCGCTACAGCAACAAATTCTCAGCTGTAAATCGTAAATAATTACTTTTTCTTGTTTTGGTCATCCAGCCAACGAGTTTTTATTTCTAGAATTCCATATCTAAACATCAATATGATATTAAGTTTAAATTCTCCTATTTCGTTGATTCGTCGAACAACTGCTTACGCCAAAGTTTACGCCGTAAATTTTGTTTATTAATCAGGTCACATAATTAATTGGTTCCAGCGCCTCCTATATCTACATCCGAAAAACATTAATACTTTTTTGTCGGCGTTTTACAAGTTTTACAGTAAAATTTTGTCTAAGTAACATTTCCAAATCGTAAAATCAGAAACTCGTTAAAGAATTTTTCAAATTGCCCGCGTACATGTCGGTAAAACAGTGTACTATTTGCCCCTTCCTGTTTGCATTTTCATTGGTCGAACTTGTCGAACAGACGCCATATTGTTACACGGCTTCTCAGTTTCGTTTCCCCATTTTCATTTCATTCTGGATGTTGAAAAGTGTGTCAAACTGATTTTTTTTCATTTTTAGGTTTATATTCTAATTAGGTAATACACTTTATATTAATATTTATAGTAGGAACTGTACATCTTTCATTAATCTTGATCACGATTCAAGCTCAAAACTTAAAAAAACATGCTCTAGCAAAGAAGTATTTTACGAAAGGCGCTATTTGCAGAATCGGTAATATTTACATAGGAGAAACTACCGATTCAAATATTTAAACATGTATAATTCTAAATAAGGAACGCATTTTCATACTAATTTTGTTATACAAACGATAGTTGTTCTATTTTGATATTATCTAATTTACAAGGTTGTAAGAAATCTTGTTTTTGTGTTGTAGTCTGAAAGTTTATCACGATCTGCAAGTTACATTGTGGTATAATCCTTACCACAATGCTAATTAATTGATAATAGTAATTATAAACATTTCTTATATTTAGGACAATTGATGTACCCTACAATTTCTCTAAATTACATTTTTTAAATACTTTTAAGTTTCTACTATGGAGAGTAGAGGTCGAGGGCGAGCAAGGGGCAGAGCCAGAGGCGCGCCTCAACAACAGCAACAAGGACAAGGTGGTCCACGTCCAGGCCCGCCCCAACAGCAGCCAGGTGCATGGGGAGCAGCTAGATTTGGGCCCCCTTCTCAAGCACCGCCAGGTGCCTGGGGTGGTCGAGCACCACCTCCATCACAGCAGCCGCCGGCAGCAGCTCAAAGTACATGGGGTGTCAGGCCTCCACCTCCCGAAACTCTTCCTCAGGTAAGTTAGATTTGTGTTAGTGAATGGAAAATTGAATACTTTATATTTGAATACTTTTGAAAATTAAATATGTTTCTAATCTTGATCTCAAATTTCTTTTGAAAATCAATTAAATTTGAAATCTTTTTGAATTTAAATACTTTTGAGAATCAAATACATATTGGATCTCTTTGAATTTGAGTACTTTTGAGAATTTAAAGTATTTCTAATTGTTGAATTTGAATACTTTAGAGAATCGAATATATTTCAAGCACGCAATGTACCAAACACATTAGCATTTAACTATCCAACTCCCAAGCGCTCTTAATTTTCTTTCCGAATTCAAATGGCATGATTCCGATTTAATTGATATTAATGATTTTGATATATACCACGTTTGCATAATGTTGATGGACCTCTAAAAAAATTCCATTTGGCCATGTTGTCTTTTGTTCTCCCACTTCTTAGTCTATTGAGGGACTTCCATGTGTTCCATTGCAGGTCTGCACCTGGTGAAAGAGATTCAGAAGGTGGGATCTATGATGCGATATCTAGGGCTGTAACGAGCCCTGTTTTTTAACTTGACCGGGTACCGAGTATTCGGCTAAAGGTAATGGCCGAGTACCTAATACTCGGCTGCCGAGTAGTGGAATTGTCGGGTTTTTAATAGTCATAACAGTTTTAGCGACCTTTATCAATATACAGGGTGGTCCGAACTGTATTCCGGAAACTTCGACAGCATATTCTACAGATCAAAATAAGTAAAAAAGTTTGTATAAATGTATGTCTTAAAATGCTTAGTTTCAGAGATACAGGGTGTAGAAGTTTCATTTTTATTTTGATTTTTTCCAAATAATTTCTGAAGTAGCGTCAATATTTGGATGAAAATTGGTATCTGGGAGTTTTGTGACATGAGAAATTTGATTTTGATGTCAAAATTACTCCTATTTGTAGGGGGCGCTACCTACATGAGTTTTAACAGTTTTGAAGAGTAATAACTTTTCGACCGTACTTGTATAAAAGCATTGACTAAAAAAATATACATCTCCATGACTTTTTATGTAAAAAATGTTTCTTGGTAAAAATCGCTACGAGCAACCGTTCTCAAGATATTTAGAATGGAAATGGTCAATACATGTCATTATTGACAAAAAATAAGCATACGTTGAGTATAGTTATTTGACTGAAATAATAAATTTTTATTTTTTTAAATTAATCATAATTTTTTCTGCGAAAAAATGATGATTAAACAGTTTCTTATGAACTTTTGACACAAAAAGATAAAATTTATGATTTCAGTCTAATAACTATTTAGTCAACATGTTTAATTTATGTCAATGATGACATGTATTGATAATTTCGATTCCAAATATCTCGAGAACCATTACTCGTAGCAATTTTTACCAAGAGACCCTTTTTATCGTAAGTCGTAAATGTATATTTTTTTACTCAGTAGTTTTATACAGGTACCGACGAAAAGTTATTACTCTTCAAAACAATTAAAACACATGTAGGTGGCGCCACCTACAAATGGGAGTCATATTGACATCAAAATCAAATTTCTCATGTCAAAAAACAACCATCTACCAATTTTCATCTAAATGTTGACGTTACTTCAGAAATTATTCGGAAAAAATCGAAATAAAAATGAAACTTCTACACCCTGTATCTCCGAAACTAAACATTTTAGGATATACATTTATACGAACTTTTTTACTTGTTTTTATCTGCAGAATATGCTGCCGAAGTTTCCGGAATACAGTTCGGACCACCCTGTATACTAATTAGACTATACACCATCATAACATAATAAGGTAAAGGTGTGGATCCGGTGGCTGACCTTGAAGCCTATATTTGCTGTATTTGATCAACAATACTACGCAAGCGCACATCGTCGATGTTGCCAAGTTGCAGTTTATTTTCGAATTATTTGCAGTTGAAATTTTTTTTTAGTGTTAATCAATAATAATACAAATTCTATAATTAATTTTATAATTTCAGATTTATCTTGATATCCAAAATTAAGGTAAATTAGGTTTAAGAATAGAGAAATCTTAAGGTAGCAGAAAAATTAATGCAATATATGTATAAGCAGAATTAAACAAGAGGTATAACTGTTAATGTTGCTGAAGCTGATTCTACAATTTTAATTACGGAGGCTAAAAGGCCTTTTAAGGTGTCCGTAGTTTTGATGGAATGTTAAAAAAAAACTATTATGAACATGACATGGAGCTACAAGATTTAAAAATTTAAAAAAAAAAGAAAAAACTTGGACACATCCCTTTTAATTTCACGAATTTTTAATAAAGCCCTTTTTAAACGTAGCATAATAATCTAGAGCAATTAGATTAATTATAGGAATCTAGAGTTTTATTTCTATTTAATTTTATTGACTATGAAAATAGATAATAAGCGTTCACGTGTTGTGCGAAATATTAAAATAATAATATAATATACCGAGTACTATGATGGAAAAAAGCGTCAGCGATGACTATGAAATGAAGATCGCTGTCATTTTACCTGGGAAATGTCCTCAATCGTCATTTCCCAGCCAACTGGACGCCGTTTTTTCGATCACGGTATATATTGACAAAAAAACACTGAAAAGCACATATTTGTTTTCTACTGAAAATAATTCCAAAATAACTTGCAAACTGGCAACATCGAACATGTGCGCATGCGTAGTGTCAGTGACTATATGCAGCAAAAACTCGTTTCAAGGTCAGCCACCGGATCCACACCATTACCCATAATAATATTATATTTTATACATAATATAAATATATAATTTAACATTAAAGAAAGCTAGTTAAAATTCCCGGAATTCCCCGGCCTTACACCAATGATCTTGTTTGATTTGCCTATGATTGGCGAGCGGCTGGGATTCCCCGACTACAAACCAATGACCTGGTTTGTTTTATGGTGGGTTCATACAGCCAAATAAAATAAAATAAGAATAAAATAAAATAAGAAATAAGGAATTCTTATTTGTGTGCGTTCATACAGTCAAATAAAATAAAATAAGAAATATATATTTGCTCATGCGCAGTACGATGAGGCTGGATAAAAGTTAACTTTTACGATTGTTTATAGTAATTTTACTATTTATAGTATATTTATTTATTCGTTGCCTACTATATTATACATTTTACTTATGTGAAATTATAAAATAAATTAAATCCAAACTGAAAATATTTGTAGGTTAGAATTAAGCGTGCGCAAAGCCGTTTTCACATAAAATAAAACAAGAAGTTAAAAGATAAAGACTTCTTATTTTATTTGTTATTTTATTTGGCTGTATGAACGCATGTACGGTATCCCATATAACCAACTTTCTTATTTTATTTTATTTTATTCTTATTTTATTTTATTTGGCTGTATGAACCCACCATTACTTATGGAGATATTGTTTTATTCTGTGGTTCCCCATGCAAACTGATATTTCTAATGTGCTGGATTCTGAATTGATTCTTTTAAGGTGCGGTGGCGACGTTGATTTTGTTTTAAGCAAATCTTATATGTGTAACTAATTTAAAAGTGAAAAATCATTCAAACAATTAATAATACCCTTTAAAGTTATATTAAAATGAGTGACAATGCTGACCTCTTTTAGATTATAAGTATTAAATTATTATTTCACTGTGTTTGTGTTATTACTTATACTTATTATTATTACTTTGCTAAAATACATTAATTAAAGTTATGAATTAATAACTTTTTGTGTATTTTATTATTTGCCACTGTGAGTCTCATTTCTATCTGTTTTGGACATGCATAAATGGATTGTTTCTATTACTATACCTTACTCGGCCGAGTAAGGCCGAGCACCGAGTACATATTACTCGGTTAAAATTCTGGCCGAGCACCGAACTACTCGGTATTTAGGGGAGCTTCATGTCCATGCAGCGGATGAGCAGAGTTTACTTCTCTCTTATGTCTCTGTGTTTGCGGTAGCTTTTTTTCTTATATAATAATAATAATAATAAAGGACTTTATTTGTACAACTGTGCCATATACAATAATAGAAGAAAGAGAAAAAAAGTAGTGTACAAAAGGGCGAGGTTCAGATGAGCAGATTAGATATCTGCCCTCTGTTCAACTAACCCACAGAGAAGAAAATATTTGTTAACAATAATAAAAATTAATGAAACTAAATCTTAAGTAAATCTACAAATATGTAACCTTAAAATAAACAGTATAAAAATAAATTTATTTACGGCATGAAATATAATGAAATTTATATAGAAGAGAAATATATTAACAAAAATACAAAATAATACAAACAGACTTAACATTGAACATGCTCATTATAATTATAATCCATTTATTTATGCTGTCCCACCATGTGATGAAGAACAATTCTCTTGAATGTAGCACTAGACATCCTGTTAATATTTTCGGAGAAGTCGTTTAAATATTTTGCGATTAAATATGAAAAGGATCGTTCATACAAAGTAGTATTGTGACTAGGAATTGTTAGCTTTCCCTTAAATCTAATGTTAATATTATGAATGTCTGTGCGAAACTGAATTTTCTCGTAAAGATATGGTGGTGACTTGTTTATTAAAATTTTGTGGAACAGACAAAGCAGATGAAGGTGGCGCCGCTCGTTCATCAATAACCATCCTGAATGCTTATATGCTTGACTAATATGGTCATATTTCCGGATCCCAAAAATTAGACGTATACAAGAATCCTACAATTTTTGAATGCTATTAGCAATTCGCTTTGTAATGCAAGGTCCAGGTTGGTATCTGGTGGGGCTATCGCTGCCAAACTTTAGAGCAGGTGTGGCTTTCAGACATCCTGATATTATTCGACATGTCTGGCACATTTTGATCAGGCACGTTCTGCAGCAGAATAGCATAGTGCAAGTGCCGATGTTCTAAGTACTGTTGGTTGAGCACCCTATCTGTTACTTGTGAGCTTCCTAATAATATTATTGGGGGCAGATACTTTTTGTTTAGTATTTAAACAGTGCTTCCTAAATGTCGGCGAACGATCCAGTGTAACCCCCAGAT